AGAACAAAAAAAAAGGAAGATGGATGTCAGAAATGGGAAGTTTGAATTAGGAAGTCGGAAATCAGTAACAGGAAGTCCGCCTCTCGGCGTCAAACCTTGGGCTGCCTGTGCCTCGATCATTGGCGTGACTTTCACAGTGTATAGCCTGATTGAGTTGTACGACTAAGCTGATTACATGTAGTGAAGTGGACGACTTCTTAGATGAACCATGAAAGTTTCTACATTAGCTATCTTATGCTGCATTTCATTATGCAGTGTCTTTAAAGCAGTGTTTTGCAAGTCCAACGCGGACCACAAATGCGAAAGCCTTGAAAATACTCCTTTTGATGTCTGTACATCAGCAGGCTACAATTATACTTTGCCGTTACCAAAGAAGCTAACCGGGCGACTAAAGGATACGATCTCATGGCTCGTGAATCATTCTATAGTGTCATGGGAGAACTGCTCAGACCTCAATTTGGCGGCGACCATGGAGTGCTCGGCTATGTTTCCCAAGTGCAGTGGTGATGGAAAAAGAGTGCTTCCTTGCAAACGAGTCTGTGGAGAGTTTTTGAAGCAGTGTATAAACACTGCAAGTGGATTTGACGCCCTTCGCATGGATTACCTACTCAGTATGTGCCACATTCTCCCTGACCATGAAAAACCAAACGATGAGAAGTGTTACGAGCCGCCTAACTTCAGCACAAACGACAGCATGCCAAGTAAGTATCGATACGTCCTCAATGATTCGATCGACCGAACTGAAAACGGCACGCAACTTTATTTGTGTGTGTAGGCATGCAGAGTTGTTACACCCTCCTACTGAAATTTTACGGCCGAATCGAAATGTGGTAAAATTTATCAGTTAGAGACGGTGTGGTACAGGTCTTTAGGGCCGTGTGTTATTACACAGCTCACTGATTAGTCATTTGGTTAACATTACTACGCTTGAATATGATATGTTTGCCTTATTTTCAAAACATGTCTTTTTTACTGACTTCGAATAATTAACTGTCAGCATGGTCAGTCTTAAAACAATTACATCGCTATCCATCTATAATAAGATAAAGAACGGGAAATATGCACTGACAAAGTGTAGTGATAAAAAACGAGAGTCTGAGAGTTACATAATATATGTACATACGCAGTGGAGATAACAACAGCTGAACAGGATATACCCCAAATCGGCTTAAATCTCCCAAACGCCAAAGGTTAACTATGTTTTTAGCCTTCTTTAATTTCAAAGCTAAGACGTCCCACCACGCATATGGCTTAGAAGAAATATCATATCGGGTGTAAACAGTGGCTTCAGTGAGACATTCAATACAGGCCGCAGTTTACTGCCCAAGACTTCCGGACTGTCTGATCTGTCGTAACAACTCGGCTTAGCAACGAAGCCGGTGACATCCCGTAGTCACACCTCCCGTAAGCGACCACCACAAATGCAAAGGTTCACTGGTCGCTTTTCTTTTACGGAAATTGACCAACTAGAGTCTCCTCCTAGAAGCTTGAGGTCCGGTCACATCTACGTCTTGAATTAGGAGAGAATTCTTTACACTGTTTACTCGAGTTTACATTACATTTTCTAAGTAAAGATATGCGTAGTTGCCACTAAATTGCATGCTCTTGGAAGTGTAGTACATACAGCAAACAGAGATCAAATCATCGCTTATGCCAAGGCTAAACGTCGAAATTTTGTGGTAACGAAGCCCCCTGCAATTAACTTAGGCCTCGGCCAAACGTCGAACTTTACATGAATCGAACCAAACTTAGGCTTTGGAGGTTAGTTTATGAAAGTTCGACTTCTGGCTTAGTCGAGTTCGTCTGAGTGAGTTTAGATCGTCCAACAAGAAACAAACGAAAATTCTAAAGCCGAGGCGGTCGTTTGCGAGAGGTTCCAACTGAAGTGATCTCACTGGGAATATTTTTGGATAGGTGGTCGCTTATAGTGCATATAGTGCATTCGCATATCAGCCGCAAATTGTTAAAGAACAGAATAAAAAGAGAAAAATTGCCATAAACGATGCCGCAAATTGTTTTCGATTTGAGATAAATCTATTATTATTATTATTTTTTTACAGATTTTTAAATATGTAGAACTATCATATTAGGCCGTGACATTTTTGGCTTGGGGCGAGTGACGTATTTTGAGGCATTGTTCTTACGGTCCAGCACGCATGTCAGAGTTCGAGGTCGTATAGGACTGGGTCTCTTAAAAAGAGAATCCAAGCGGTTTCCATTTCGCCACCTTGAGGTTGCGTGGGAGACCAGGTCGAGATGGTTATCAAAGTACATTGTGGGACTGTTTTGGGGATCGAATTAGCCACCATGTTGAAAATGCGTCCCCTAAAACAGTCCCACAATGCACTTTGACAACCATCTCGACCCGCTCTCCCGCTCAAGGATTGCATCTTTGAGAAAAGCGAGCCGTACGGTGCGGAGGAAAAGGGAAAAAAATTTAAATATTATCAAAGATCGCTGCAAGCTCTCCTTTCTTTCCCGTTTACGTAAACCACACGTCTCCTCTCGCTTCGTGTGCGTCTTTCTCGCATGTGACCCCTCAAGAAATCCACTCTGTCCCAGTGGTTGTTGGCTATCCACTTTGAAACCGCATTCAGGTTATTCTAAGGAAACCATCCATGAGGTAGTCTTAAGTACGGGGGTTTACTCACAATCGGATGGCCTATATACGGGGAGGCTCCGCCTGAAAGGGGTACACGGCCTTTTCTGGCTTCAGGTAAATGAAACTATAAAAGGGTAGGGATTTCACTAGTTGAATTATTTTAAAGGGCAGGACTAGGAAATTTGTCATTTCGGTTTGTAAAACTAAGCCCAGCCAAGGGCAAACCGCTCTTTTTTTATGGCTGTGAAAAATTATAGAAAACGTTCCGGTTTTGTGACTTATTCGCATTTTAAAGACAATGCATTTACAGCCGTTTTGTAACGGATGCAAAGATCTGAACCAGATATGTGAAAGGGGTACGCTTTATTGATAGAGGGTATACGAAAGGGTCGCCCTTTCTGTCAAAAATGGTATTAAAAAAAGAAAGGGGTGAGACCTCGGGGCGGTGCCCTCCCGTATAAAACTTTGTTGAGTACCCCCCCGGCTCCTTTTTCTGTTCTTCTTTTAGGTCCCTTGGATCGTGGGTGTCAGGAGTTGATTATTCCGGCTTGTAAAGACTTGGGTGTTTACTCACACACTCTTTTGTCGGAGGAGGTGCAGAAGCATCTATACCTGACTTTTTGGAGAAAATCTTACAACAAAAGTGACCTGCAAAGGGATTTTCCAAAGGTGTTCGAAAACATTCTTGCAAACTATCCGAAGTGTCGAAGAAATGCAGAGACGTTATTTTGTGGCGAGATGTTTCCCCCGTGTTTTCTGCATGAAACCAAGACCGTTTATAAGGCTCCTTGTAGATCGCTGTGTAATGACATCGCCAGAGACTGCCCGGGATATTTTAGGTAAAGCTTTTATTAAGTACCGTGAAGTTTCGAAAGTAACGGCCCTCGTTACTTTCGGATTTAGCACAACCTCGTCCCCAGGGCGCTTTTCTCCACCTCCAAAGCCAGGGCAAAGCGCCCTGGGGACGAGGTTGGATTTAGCAGCCTTTTGCGATAGCTATTTTCAGAGGGTCGCTATGTAGGATAGCTAAAACGCAGGTGTGCTGTCACGCAGAGGCCGCTGGTTATGGTAATAACATGATCGCGACAAATGTGAAAACTTCCACACTTTTTATTTGGAGAAACGTATTTCATGTTTCAAAAGAATTGTTTGATTAACGTGTCGTATTAACGTTTCGATTAACGTTTCGTATTCCCAGACGAAAGGAAGACTACAAGTAATGTATCTTTTTGGGTTACGTAAAGGATTTTATAAAATAACTAACTAAGATAGTACGCGCGCTCTGATTGTTTAAGAACCTATGGTTTATTGTGCCGGTAAACTCATAGAAAACTCCATTTTACTTAAATAGACCCCCGGGAATAGACCACACTTTCTATGGGTTTACCGGTGTGATAACCCACGCGGGATGTTGGGGGAGCACTCGAAAAGCTTGAATGTAAATCGCTCGCCTTCGGCTCATGATTTACAAGCTTTTCTCGTGTTCTCCGAACATCCCGCGTAGGTTATGCGCCAGTAAATCCAAAGAAAATGTGGTCTACTGGTTAAATAAACGTTAAAAGTAGACCTCGGATCACCAAGGTAAATTTTGTTGTCTCTATAAATTTCCTCTTCAGTCCGGCACAGTTATCAAAGTCGATAACCTGGACAAACTATTAGCCAATCAAACTTCAAGCAAAAAGGGAAATTACTTTAGAGGACGCTACTATACTTTCGCAGGGTCCTTATTTTCGGGGGGTCTCTACTTTTGGCATTTGTTAACACTTGCGAAATTTCATCGCTATAACAAAAAGGGACATAACTTTTGAAGCGACTTCTTTAGGAAGGTCGTTATTTTCAAAACGTGTTACGGTAGTATCTTATGGAGCGTTTTCACATGACGTCATGTTGTTCCAAAACAATGAAGTAGCGACTATGTTGGTGTTTCAAGCCAGTTGTACGGGTGTGTGAACTGAACCAGTTTCTCATATAAAAAAAAAACTTTCTTATGTACCAATAAATTTGCATAGTTGCTGGTTACGTGAGTGAAAAGGCTCCATTGGCTGTTTCTAGATAGGAGTTTTAATTAAATGTCAATCTGGGACGAACTTGGACAATAGATTGACTAAATGTTGTAGCTGAAGAGGGTCGCAGTGGGGAAGTGATTTTGGCGATAAACGGTCAATATCCTGGTCTAACGCAATTAATGGTTAACCTTTTTATTTTCGTTATGGTTAGCAGAATTCTTACAAAATTATTTGTATTATAAAATCAGCAATGAACCGCTGAACTGGAACTAAGGCTGTCACGAAAGTTCCACGAAGATGAAAACAAGCGAAAATAGGACCCGCCCGATTTGTTTTGTTTGTTTGTTTTCCTTTCAGTGATGACTTCAGTGATGCAGAATATTGTGGTTTGCTTCCAGAGGGATACACGGGCGATTTGTTTTGTAACATAAAGGAATGGCCTTCTCCATTCCATTGGCTCGATTATGTAGGTCAGTGATTATAACATTATTGTTTGAGTGTGGTTTATATGGTCGGGGCAAGAAGACGCACCATGACTCTCGCGAGTATTTCCAGCAAAGGTGCTGTTTTCAGGCAATTTAGAATTATATTAAATATGTTCCGCGCTGCAAGTTCTACAACCTAACCGAGGCTTTCAGTTCTTTGAATTTCCATTAAGGTGTTTTCATTAGATCGCTGGGATAACCTTAGTTAGTAACTTGTAATCTGAACAAAGATTACTAAGTGTATACGGCAAATCTCGATACCAGGCTCTCTCTCTCTCTTTGGCAAGTCGGTGATGATTACATTCACCCCAGAAAAATGGGCGAGAATGCGATGCCAGATACGTGTTCCATGATCCGTTCACCAGTTGTCCCTTGTCCCATACACTACTGCTCACTCCAGTTGTATTAGGGCCGTGTTCTTCTATGTCGAAGGCTAAACATGAGACCCTTATATGGTCAATGCTATATATATGGCAAAAGGCAACCCCCTCGAGGATGAAATGACAATTCCTTATTGAACCGTCATCCTCACCTTATAAAGGAGTAGTCCAGGATTGTTTTACGACGCCAAAGGAGTTCTTGTAATAAAATTTTCAAAAATGTGAATTTACTTGCGCAAAGCTAGCATTACGCCAGAAATGGTTGGAGATGACCCTTCCAGGCTGTCTTTTTGCTATATCAACAGCCAGTATATCGAAATTAAGTTACCCATTTTAGTTGTAGGTGTCCGATCAACTCAGTGTCAACTTTGCTTTTGGTTTTAACTTTTGTTTTCCACAGATCTCCTGACAACAACGTCAGCACCATCCGAGGAACCAAATAAGCTGGCCCCCAAAGGGTGGGTCATTGCTGTGGCAGTGCTGTCGTGCCTGGCAGTTGTGGGGCTCGTCTTAGGGGGCTTAATTTGGTGGAAGTGGCGAAGGACATCACCTGGAGTGGCGTACAAGAAACAGCACGATGAAGAAGGCGCTCAATAGTAGGCCAAAGTCAAGAAGTTTAGCGTCAGTCTTAGTAACTGTCTGACATTTGGTAGCTTAGAAAACTTAAAAGGGGCAGTATCATCACGATCTCATTATTTTTAGAAGAGTTTATTTTAATGGAAATCCCCCAAGAGTGGACTGGCCTTGCTAAAAGTTACATTAGAGTGGTTTTCGTTTGAGTGTCGTAAAACCAAAACCAAAGTAATTACTCTGGCCAATCACATAGGACACAGACAATACATTGAACCAATCAAAACTCGAAGTAATTACATGTGGCTGACGCAAAGCGCGGGAAAATGTATGCGAGCGCGTCACAATTGGCTTTGGTTTTACTTCTGATTGGATGAAAAGGTGGCGCGAATCTTTTAAGCCAATCGCATCGTGTAGAAAGTGCAAAACCAATTACTTTTCGACACTCAAATGAAAAC